TTTATAGTATATCCCGTGCATCGCACGGGTATCAACACTAGTACAAAAAAATATCAATAATATTATTCTTCAGAATTCTCATACCAAAAATATCGAATCCAAAGTTTTTAAAAAAAAATGCACACACACATTTATTATAAAATAACGGTCACATTATTGTTCAAATATTTTATACCAAAAAATTAAAGATACTCTTTAATTATATTGATAATATTAAGGATAACAAAGTTGAGTTAGATTTTAAATATGAATTAATTTAGATTTAGTTTATTCTTTTACAAGCATAACCTAAACGTGCGACTCTCGGTACATTCACCGAATTCACATAAACCTTTCGGTGCTCTGAAAAATTCTCCTCTTCTACAGCCATATGTATTTTATAAAGCTGGAGTATTTTATTTTTTCCAAGGTTACTGATAAATTAATAATCCACGTTACTTATAAAACCAAACAATGTGCGGTTACGAGAATCAGTTTGGTTCTGTTATCAATTAACAGTTTCTCAAGTTTCAGGTTTTTGGTTTCTTAGATTTGGCTTCGAACCAATTTGCTCACCTAGCCACAGCTTATGAGACAATCTTTACACAGCCGAAAATGTATCCTAACAGATACCAGTTGTACATGAACTTCAAAACAAATTAATCAATACGCAGGGGCGAATCTAGCCAATAGAATGAGTGGGGGCCTAATCGTTACTGGAAAAAAAAATATACTGTAATAATAGTATAAATACAAAAACACACATTTATAATATAGTTATGAGTTTACATATATAGCTCAACATCATCCTATAATAACATCGTTGAATTTTTTTATCGCACTTTCTTTTGGCCAAAGTCTAACAATATTAAAATTCGACTTCAGATATATTTGGAACTAAAGTATCTCAGTTTAAAATATTTTAATGTGAACTTTTCTTTTCAAGACATATTTTAAAATTATTTCTCCATAATTAATGTAAAAATTGAATAAATTATAATATTTAAAAAACCATAATGTATAAAATGATGTACTAATATATAAAACATTAAGAGCCTACAATTTAAGTTATTAACCACACACAAAGTATAGTAGATGTTATGTATTTTATAATTAAGAAGCGACAATCAATTAACTAGAAGAGTGCTAAAAAGTACAATAAGTGTGTAACTTTTCTTACAAGTTTAATAATAAAAAAAGGTTAAAATTAGTTTCAAAAATTGGTAAGAACAAGAAATTCTTATCACCATTATTTCTCTCTTTTCATTTTATTTTTTATTTTTTATTTTTTGTTTGTGCTTATGCAAGTATTGTCATTAATTTTTATTTTTTATTTTTTGTTTGTGCTTATGTAAGTATTGTCATTAATTTTTATTTTTTAATAGGGTATTAAGTTATTTTTTGAGTTCCAGCTATACCTAATTCATAAAATTTTTTATTTTTTCAGTGTGGGCCTAGGCCCACACTGGTCTATATATAGCTCCTCCCCTGTCAATACGGACAATTTCTGGATATCCCGAGTATTATAACGCTACACAGCCAAACAGCATTCCTAGATTGATAACCAGCTACTCCAATTTCAAATTGCCACACACACACACACACACAACAAATACCATCACACGTCCAGAGAAACAAACACAGTTCACAATAATAAGATTTTTAATATGACAAGTTGCCTTATAATGCTCAAATTTCGACACTGGAAACATTTACATCTATAATGATGTAAAATTCCACAAGTTAGAAAAAATTACAAGCTGTGTGATTATATAAGCCAAAGTTTATCCAATCGGATACAATGTGCAGAAGAAAACATGAGCAAATAAACAGAAACTCTAATCACAGGTGGGTGCCAAATAATAAATTATATAAACAAATTCGAAAGTCTTTAGAAAAATCACAATTTTTCCTATCAACATCTTCTCTCTTGCATTAGATTCAACCAATAGTACATTACATTCAAGCATATGAGTGGAGAATTTTGTGACAACAAATCTCGTACTATTGCACCCTATAGAATGGTCAATGTTCCGCAACAACATGACTACGGTTCCTGTCTTAAGATTCTACTCAAGGTTCGACACTCTAGAACATCTGATAGTATAAAAAAACTCAGGAGTGTGGAGATCGGACAAAAAATAATTATTGAATCATACTTACATGTACCATCAAAGCTCAAGTATGTTTGACCATTAGTCACGTTCAAAGACGTCGCGTACTCATTCATAGACTCAACCACCTCCAATTTTGGGGCTAATATAGCCCTATCCTTCAAATGCCTAGAATCATCGTTGCACCCTTAAATATTGGATAAGTGCACTCAAAAATTGCAGCGACAAGTTCATTAGTAGGCTTCAACAATATATTATCAGACATGTCTATCAAGGCACATCTATCATTGAATTCCTCAATGGTTCCATCTTTGATGCTCCCTATCGAATTAGCAAAGGTTGTCAACTCCTCGCGATCATCCGAATAATCAATGCTCTGAAGTAGCATATTTTTGTAAACCTCAACACAGTACATTTAGCCCATATGTCGGAAAAATTAATTGCAATAATCAAAATATCCTGATGGCTCTCTTTCGAAATAACCAGGAGGATATGTTGGAAATTGAATTTCCATATTATTATTGTATTCAACCTCAATTTTTTGTTCAATTATACGAATCGGACACAACATCATGGGTAGCTTTTCAATTCTTGTGATATCCTTGATCAAATCGAATTCGCACCTCATGTTGTGTTGAATTAAATAAGTATAAATCGTATATTTTTGTATTAAAAAAAATCAAAAGCAGGATGAGTAGACAACATCGATCTGCACTGAATTTATAGGGGAAGAACAAAGTAAATTTTAGATCAATTCATAAATATTTGATATGAAAATATTTTAACAAACACAATAAATTGCCTATGATTCATGTCAAATTTAAACGTGTGCAAATAACACTTGTTCTATTTTGTATTAACAAATATTTACTTTATGTAATTCACACGCTTTTTTGGTTAATATGATGCTATTATATTTTTCTGTATTTGTTTATTAATATGTTGCAAGTTAATTAATAGGTGATTTGAAATGTGGTTTATGTAATATTTTATTTTTGAGATTTTTTTTTTTTTTTTATATTTTGGTTATTTGCTAATCAATTAATAATTTGATTATATCGGGTATACTGAATCAAATCGACAATATCGAATTTTTTTATGTAGATCTTGCATATTTTTTTGTTCTTTCATCGATTTGGCACTATGAAAGGAAATTGTGGAAGTTTTTGGTTAAAGAATGATCAATACGATATACAATGCATTTTTATAAGATCTCGTTGGAACTTTGACTTTCACTCCAATCATTTATACAAAAAAATATCAGTAATATTATTCTTCAAAATTCTCGTACCAAAAATATTGAATCCAAAGCTTAAAAAAATGCACACACACATTTATTATAAAATAACCGGTCACATTATTGTTCTGATATTTTATACTAAAAAAATCGATACTCTATAAAAAAATCGATACTCTATAATTACACTGATAATATTGAGGATAACGAAGTTAAGTTAAATTTTAAATATGAATTAATTTAGATTTAGTTTATATTTTACAAGCATAACCTAAACGTGCGACTCTCGGTACATTCACCCAATTCACAGGTAAAACATAACCTAAACGTGCGACTCTCAGTACATTCACCCAATTCACATAAACCTTTCGGTGCTCTGAAAAATTCTCCTCTTCTACAGCCATGTATTAAAGCTGGAGTATCTTCTTTTTTCCAAGGTTACTGATAAATTAATAATCGACGTTACTTATAAAACCAAACAGTGTGTGGTTACGAGAATCAGTTTGGTTCTGTTATCAATTAACAGTTTCTCAAGTTTCCGGTTTTGGTTTCTTAGATTTGGCTTCGAACCAATTTGTTCACCCTAGCCACAGCTTACGAGCCAATCTTTACACAGCCGAAAATGTATCCTAACAGATATCACACAAAAATCCTCCCAATCCACAAATATCAGAACAATCCAAATAAACAGCACATAAGTGAACTTAAGACGAACAATGAAAGAAGAAGACACCTCCAATTTCTTCAAATTTTAAGTGGGAAGATCAAAATAACCACTTTATCAAGAGTAATCAATCTATCAACACTACTATCCAAATGAAAACAGCAGTGTCCATGAACTTCAAAACAAATTAATCAATACGGACAATTTTTGGATATCTCGAGTATAATGCTACACAGCCAAACAGCATTCCTAGATTGATATCCACGTACTCCAATTTCAAATGGCCAACATAAAAAATACACACACAAATACCATCACACGTCCAGAGAAACAACCACAGTTCACAATAACAAGATTTTTAATATGACAAGTTCCTTATAATGCTCAAATTTTGACACTGGAAACATTTACATCTGTAGTGATGTAAAATTCCACAAGTTAAAAAAAATTACAAGCAGTGTGATTATATAAGCCAAAGTTTATCCAATCGGATACAATGTGCAAAAGAAAACATTAGCAAATAAACAAAAGCTCTAA